TACAGCCGAGGCCCCCTGAGCCCTGTGGGGTTCAAGACCCCAAGAGAGAAAGTTGGGGCCAGGTACGGCTGAGGCTGCCTGAGCCCTGTGGGGGTTTGAGACCCCGAGAGGAAAGGTTGGGGCCAGGTATGGCTACGGCCACCTGAGCCCACCAGGGAGCCAACCCCCCCCCCCCCCAGCCCCAGTGAAGGGGGAAGAGATCTGGTAGCCCCAAGTGAGGGGGAAGCATTGTGGAGCCCCGAGCAAAGGGGGCACTTGTGGAGCCTCAACTGAGGGGGCAGGGTTGTTGAGCCCTGAGCAGAGGTGGGTGTTGTAGAGCCCTGTGTAGGAAGGCGGGTCTGTAAGATCACAGCCAATGTAGCACCACGACCTGCTGCCCGGGGGGGAGTGAGAGTCCCCTGTAAGACTCTGGGGCACCAGTCATGGTGTGAGGTACCCCAGCTCCTCACATTCAGTGAAGGGGGACCCGGAGAGAGTGTGGGGCTAGTGAGGCCAGAGGTAGAGTGCCCCCTTGGCTGGCCCATGCTGGGACCAGGACCGAGTAGGTCAAAAGGGCCAGGTGCCCACCGCAAGGGGCACCCAGAGTCATAGGCCTGGGAACCCGCCTGGTCTTTGAGGTGAGGCCAGGGCCTGTGTATGGCCAAAGGTCCTGAGTGGGGACCACACCCGTGAGGGGGGCCAGCTATGAGGAGGTTGGTAGCCCAGATGAAGGCGGCATAGGCTGCCTGAGCGGAGGGTTCACAGGAGGGTCCTGCCAGAAGGATTCCAGAACCTAGTGTGGGGCTGGTGTGGTTGATAACATCTAGCCCCCAGGTGAGGGGCACTGTGCTAGCCCCAAGGCATGGCAAAGTAGTGGAACACCAGTGAGGGGTTAGCCCCAGTGAAGGGGGCCAAGATCAGGAGCCCCTGTAAGGGATGGTGTGCTAGCCCCAAGGTGGGGCAGAGTTGTGGAACACCAGTGAGGGGGTAGCCCCAGCAAAGCGGGGCCAAGATAAATAGCCTCTGTGAGGGGCAGTGTGCTAGCCCCAAGGCAGGGCAGAGTTGGGGAGCCCCAGTGAGGGGGTAGTCCCTAGTAAGGGGCAGAGATCTAGAGCCCCAAGTGAGGGGGCAAGGGAGCACCCCAAGTAAGGGGAGCAGGCCCAGGTATGTCTCCGGAGCCTGAGGCCAAGGTTTAGGCCAGGAGGAGTGAAAGGGGGCTCACCCCAGAGCGAGAGAGGCGAGTCCTGACCCCGGTAAATTCCCTACTGCTGGGAGGCAGGGGGGGGTGGGAATGTAAAATCTGTAGTAGCACCATGACCTGCTGCCTCAGGTGGGGAGTGAGAGTCCCCTGTGAGACCCTGGGGCACCAGTCGTGGTGTGAGGTACCCTAGCTCCCCACATCCAGTGAAGGGGGACCAGGAGAGAATGCAGGGCTAGTAAGGCTGAAGTAGAGAGCCCCGTCAACTGGCCCATGCTGGGGCCAGGACCAAGAAGGTCAAAAGGGCCAGGTGCCCACCATGAGGGGCACCCAGAGCCATGGGCCTGGGACCCCACCTGGCCTTTGAGGTGAGGCCAGGGCCTGTGTAGGGCCGAAGGTCCTGAGTGAGGACCACATCCAAGAGGGGAACCAGTTACTAGGAGCCTGGGAGCCTGGATGAAGGCAGCGTAGGCCACCAGAGCAGAGGGATCAAAGCGGGGTCCCATTAGGAGGGTCCTGGAGCCTAGTGTGGGGTGGGTGACTCTTAACATCTGGATGCCATCTGCGAGGCTTGGGCTGCAGTGTAGGGGAGGAACGGAGCCGCAGATAGTGCCCCTGGCATTGGGGTAAGAAATGGGCAGCCTCCCACCTTATTTAACAACTTATTAATCTTCCATAAAGTCGTGGCGGGCGAGACAGGTGGGTGGCGTGCCCAGAGGCACGTGGCAGGCCAGCGATGGCTGGCCCTTGAGAAACCCACTTTGCCACAACTGCCAATGACGTCACCGGCCGGCAACAACTGAATAAAGGTGCAGCTTACAACCCATGCAGGTTCCTTTCCTTGTTCTGGCTGTGCTGTGGGTCCTGCTGCAGGTAAGTATGTTATTAGATTATTTTTCTTCTCTTTTGTGTATATTCCCCACCCTAGGGGCTCCCTGTGTATGGTTTGGGGCTCTTTTGGCTGATTGCATGATATAACAAGTGGAGTCTGATCAAATTCAGATTCCTCACTGTGCAGCTGATTCTTTAACAGTAACCATCCCTCATGTTGAACAGAAATGGAATATTATAGCAGCTACATAATTTCATATAAACACTGGGATCCTACCTGGAGCCCAAAACTTCATTGACATCTGTGCCAACCCATGTTTCATGATAAGTTTTATTTAAAAAAAATAAATCATCATCATCACAGGATTTAATTGTACAACTGCCATAGAATGTTTTTATGATATATCTGTGCTTGCCCCTCTGAAATTACTTTGAAAAGCCCATACCAAGTGACCTTGTAGTATTTGAGAATTCAAGACTTGAACAGAGTGTTCCATATATCTCAGCCTAATTTTACAGCTTTAATGCCTGTTGTTGTTCTGATGGTGTATGTTTGGGTGGCCTCTTGATTGCTGTCATTCTTAGTGGTCAGGCTGGTGGGAGTCATGCAATGGGGGCTGGGGTGTAGCCATCTATCATTGAGGTGCAATGTAGAAAGAACAACTGAAATTTGTGTTTGGTGACAAAAAAGCCCAGAGAGGTTTACTATAACTTGGACAGCTCCTTTGGAATCAGTCCAACTCAGTAGAATTACCCAAAACAATGATGGCAACACCTTACATATATTACACTCCCTTAGGTCACTAAAGAGAAACAAGTTTTGTGGCAACTTTGTTAATACCACAAATACCCAAGTTTTCATGCTAATTTTTATTTGTTGTTCAAGAGATATATTTCTATTTGTCTCCTTTCTAAGTTCATACTTGGCCCAATTGTTTGGTCTCTTATCATCTGCCCTAATTAATTATACTTTGATTCTACTACTCCTTTGTGTTACCAGATTTGCCCATCCCTTTGGGGTGCACTCATTTATTAGAGTTACATTTCTGGGGTCTCTGTAATCCTATCAATGTACTACTTGTGCCACTTGTGTTTCTATACAGCTCTCTATATCTCCCTTCTGCAAGTCCCCAGATCCCCAGTGGAGCTACTTTGCAGCGCTTATTTTCAATGGGACTGAGTTCCTCCAGCTACTGAATCAGTTTAACACATACGCATACACATAGATTAATAGAGCATGTCTGAGCTGGCAGAGTCAATCTGCACTTCTAAGCTGACACCCTCATAAGCCATGGACTCAGCACAGAGCTAAGTTCACAATAAAATGCAGTCAGACACATGCACACAGGTTAACAGAGTACACCTGAGTGAGCAGTGTTAAATAGTACTTCTAAGTGGACACCCCCATAGACCCCAGACTCTGAACCCCCCCAATTTCTTTGCACAGTTGTCCTGGTAGTAACTTCCTTGTTGAACAGACTCCACAGGATTTGGTGGCTTTACAGGGATCTTTGGCTTAGGTAAAAGAAGCGTTGCTGCAGAGCAAATGGGGAGGCTGAGGAGAAGGAAAAGTAAATGAGGTTCAGAGAGAGTATGGCAACCAGCTTGACCATAAAAAGTTATTTTATTGCCAGGTATAGGAAACTTATGATGATACTAGTAGTAATAGTCATACAAGGAGAGACAAAAAAATGCAATATTATGCAGTTTCAACTGGGTATTTGGGGAAGTCTAGCTCAAGTTTGATCAGCAAAAGTCGGGTTTAGAAACCTGTGCCTGGAGTAAGAGAGAGAGGAAGAGGGGGATTAAATCAATCTGAGGTTTAGAAAGTGGGCTTAAACAAAGAGAGAGAGAGAGAGAGCTGGGGTCTCACCACTCAGCAGAACTTGAACTGGTCGAGGTTCCCAGGTGTTTGGGAAACTTGCAGAGAAGCTGTTCAGCTTTGGGTCCAGGGGGTTTGAGATAGGCAGAGCCCCCAGCAAAACCAGTGAAGGTATTCCAGGGAAGGAAAAGAGAAGGTGAAGTCCCAGTGGAACTGGTGGAGGTTTTGGATCCAAATACCAGAAAAGAAGCTTAAGCTTGGGTAGGGGGGTTTCTAGGTAAATAACAATGTTTCAAATGTGAACACTAGGTTTCTTAATGGGTAAACAGTGGCTCAGGGGAGTACCAGGATTGTTTTGTTATCCTGGACAATGGGAGCGTATCATTCCTGGCTATGGGCAGCATTACCCTGAGGGATCTCACATTGTAAACAGGCAGATTCTGTGTTTTGGGTACCAATAAAGGAGTCATCACTAGAATTGGTCTGATAAATGCTAAACTGGGTGTGTGCAAACATGGATTGATTAGCATTTGGAGCAGGGATCCCCCATCATGCAGTACTCCCCTGCTTCTCTGGTCCCAGAGTTCACTGAGGCCTTGGAATTTCTGTTCTCCATTCTGAATGCTAATGGAGGTGCCTCCCTTTCCCAACTCTGATACAAATGGGACTAGGGGAGTTGCCACCCTGTCTCATCTCTGATGCAAATGAGACTAGAGAAGTTGCCTTAATCCTGTCACCCTTGTCTGGTGGGGTTTAGGTGTGTCTCTCACTGCATCTTCATTGCCTTTTGTAAGTCCTTCTCCTGAGCATTTCTGGTTCAGGCAGAGGTAGGAGTGGGAGGGGGAGAGTCGAGAGTCCTTCGTGGGTCAGACAAGCTGGGTGTTGCACCAGGGCTCCCCAGGAACACAGACCTGACAGGTTACACTTTCCACAAGAGCCCTACTCATAAATGTGTTCTCATCTTTCTACATCTCTTTTCAAGTCATTCTGAGGCCAGTGAGGCCAGCTCTTTCCAAACTCCCTTTCAGAGTCTTAGTTTAACTTGCATGGCTTAGCATAACCAAAATCTCTATAAGTATTTTCCTCTTCAAAATTATGTGTACAGCCAGAAACACAAATCATCTAAAAATGCCAGATGTGGGTCAGCCTCAGAGACTGACTTCCATCTCATTAGATTTTACTATCTGACAAATTACAAAAGCCACACTTTTTATAGAGAGCTCTTCTCAGAGCGTCCTTTACCTCTTTGTTTCTGAGGCTATATATGAGGGGGTTGACCATGGGAGTCAAAATAGTATAGAAGAGTGAGAAAATCTCATGTAATCCCTTTGAAAGGTGTGTGGTTGGAATCATGCAGACAATTAGTAGTGATCCATAAAACATTATGACAACAGCAAGGTGTGAGGAGCAGGTTGAGAAGGCCTTTTGTCTTCCAGCAATAGAAGGGATTCTTAGGATGGTGGTGATGATGGAAACATAGGATGTTAGAGTTGATAGAAATGGGAACAGGGACACAAGAGAACATAGCGGGTACATGATTAGCTCTAGGAGTTTGGTGTCAGTGCAAGCAATTTTTATGATGGGTGCAAAATCACAAAAGAAATGGTCAATTTCATTGGAGCTGCAGAACTGTAGCTTAGATATTAAGATGAATGCTATGGTGCTGCTCAGAAATCCACATGTCCAGGAACAAGCTACTAGTCGGATGCAGACCCTGACATTCATAAGACTGGCATACCGGAGTGGATTGCATATCGCTAAATATCGGTCATAAGACATCGATGCTAGGAGATAGCATTCCGTTGCTCCTAGGGCACCAAAGCAATAAAATTGTGTGATACAGCCACTAACAGAAATGGTTCTGCTCCCAGTCAGGAGGCCAGTTAACATCTTGGGCAAGATTGTAGATGTGTAGAGCATCTCCAAGCACGATAAGTTTCCTAGAAAGAAGTACATGGGGCTGTGAAGGTGCTGATCAGCAACAACCAGTGCCAGAATTAGGATGTTCCCAGCCACAGTTACAATGTAGATCACTAGAAACAGCAGGAAGAGAGGAATGTGCAGTTCAAACAGATCCCCAAATCCCAAGAGGATGAATTCCGTGATGGTTGTTTGATTTCTCCAAGCAGACTTGGACATTATTTTTATCTAAGAAAGTTAAGGAAATAGATTAATTGAAACTGAGAAACCAAAACTCAGAATACAATTAAATTGAATTTGTACACCAGTGAAATTCCCTGCACTCTTCAGTCTATATTCAATTTATTGAACATAATTCTGAACTGAAATTTCATAAGTTTAATTTCACAAGTGTCCATACCTCACTACCTGCTTTTGTGTTCTTTATTCATGACAACATACCAACTATCAGAGTGACTTGGATTTGTCCTGCTGAGGGGAAGTCAGACTTTCCTGTCAAGATGTGTGGGTGTTTTTCCTTACGAGTGGGATATTTCCCTAACATGGCACCAAAGGTTAACATTCAACAGCTCCGTTAGTATCAGTTTGCTAAAGTACTTAAGGATCATACTTTCAGTGCTTCCATTTCCAAGAAAATTAGGTACCTAAATACCTTTATGAACCTAAATACCTTTATGAACCTGGTTCTAGGTGACCTACAAGCCCAACTACCACTGGTAGGAACAAATCCAGACCGATCATCATTCTAGGGCACCAGTGAGGCATTCTGCTGCCCAAAAAACAGGGTTCTGCTCAAGCAGAAGAATTCAACCCAACTAAATCAAATGCCTGCAATACCTACCTAGTCAATGGCATGATTTAAATGCACATAATAAGTCCCTGCTGACTTGCACAGAAAAGAACAGAAGCTGCTAGGTTAACAAATGTAATTTGTGGGTTTGGTATCCATATTTTATGTTGAAAGATTTATTTTGTACTTTTTATTTCTTTCTTAATAATAAAGAAAAAAAGAGAAGTGAAAAAACAGAAAGTGAGAGATATATTCAAGAAACCCCCAAAATTAAAGAAAACAAAAAGGAATATTCGGGGTATGGAGAACAGATTTCACAGACCAACTGGAGATGCTTCCTCAGCCTGGTGAATGCTATTTATAGGCAAAAACTTGAAAATAATTTTTTTTTCCAACTATTTGAGTTGGTCTAATAAAAGATCAGATTTACCCAAAGAACCGGCTTGCCAACATTTGTAAAGACATTTTTAGTTTTGGAAAAAAAACCCAGAATTGTCTGACCTTTAAAACAGTTACAAAAAACAGTGAGGAAGAGAAGGAATCACCCACTTGTGTTCAACTTCCATCTTAACAGCATACTTCTGATGACTACAAAACTGTGAACACAAATTCCATTAACACCCATCCACAGGGTTTATTAGCAAGTCACTCTGAGGTGAGTCTTTACCGCTCACTTCCCTGCTTCCTCTTTTCTGAAGCTTTTTTAACAACTTTGTATGAGTCTTCAGGACATATGAAGTATCAAATCTGTTTCCAATTTGTTTTGGATAGGAAGGCTTTCCTCCAAGTTCTGATAGACTCGAGTCCTCATACGAGAATCCAATTCCCTCTTTTGAGAAGTTTGCAGTCAGAAGTGTCACCAGCCTTAACGCTACATGGAACACTTGCTTTTATCCTAGGTTTCGTTCACTTGAAGTATTGGGTTCTTTGGTTCTAGACATGGTACGAAGTCCCTCAGCTACAGACCACTGAAGCTATTTTCTACATTCTGGATGATAATATTTGCATTTAGTTTGTAGGCACATTTCTTCCCATATGGGCCTGGTTGATTCTTATAGTCAAGGACACATGGTTTCTTCCTAAGGAGACTGTCCAGTTTGTGGCCATGATGACCAAGAGGAGCATCAGGAAACATGAATTTATTTATTAAGAGCTTTCCAAATGCAACAGAACATTTTAGTTAACCTTGCTTTCCACATCAACTACCTGCCTGCCTGCTCGCTTGCTCTCTCCCTTAGCAGTGTCTTTGCCAATGGAAAAGTTCACCTTTTGAGATGGATTTTTCTGGCCACATTCTTTCACACTTACTACATGAAAGACCCTTTTGGGTGCAATCAGCTCTGCAGCCTGAGCCTTCACAATTTGTGCTGTCCTGCACATTTGTAGTCTTTTCTAGGGTTATGTCTCCCCCACAAATGTAGCCTTTATTGTAATTCACTGTCTGCAATGACACAAATAATCTAATCAGAGAGTCTCTCAGGTTTCCAAAAGCACAGTTCTTACTCAGTCTCCTTAGTTTTGTAACATCCTGATCTAGACTTACTCCTGTTGTTTTTTGCACATAAAATGGTGTTTTTCACGGATCTCATTCCTTTTTTGGTATGCAGTACTCCTCAAATTTAGACACTATACCACTTAAATCCTGAGCCTTCTTGCACATTGTGGGAAGAAGCCCTGGCTGGTCTAAACAACTATAGTTATGTATAAGACTTAAATATAAATGTATTTCTTCTGCCCCTATGGCTGTTAGTTACTACTTGAACCATTGTCTAAATCCCCTTTTCTCTGCTACACTGACAAATACCTGGGGGCAGTTGAAAGTGGCAACAATTCCATACCTGATTGTCTTTTTTTTTAAACAATGGTAATGCAGGCAGAATACTTACATAGGCCTTTGTGCCTCCTAGTGACTTTGTGGTTCCACTTGCTCTCAGGTTCCAACTTCTTCTATTTGAATCTCAAATTATTTCACATTCTCTCACATTCATTACTTCTGACACCAGGTTATGTCCATCAAGTTCAACAGACAGTCATGCATGAACAATAACTAAACAACTTTTATTGTGGAGCAGTAAGCAAATCTCTGCAGTCTCCTTGTTTCTAACTAGCTACTCTCTAACTGAGGAACCAAATCACAAGTTCTATTTTCTTCAGTCTACGAATTATGGAGCATATCTAGATTATGACCTCTAGCACTACACGACCTTTTGCATAAACTTGTTTTTCATGAGCTTGGAATGTGCCTAAGAGAAGAGGTGAAATAGAACTTAAAATGTATACTTATTCCTTCACTGTATGAGATTAACTTTAAAAATGTATGAGATGGTTACTGTATGAGATGGTTACTTTAAGAAGCAATTATGCTATACCTACCTGTAACATAAGTATACTTGAACCTTGAAATTCAGGTTTTCCTTCTTGTCTCTGATTCCCACAGCCCTGAAGATTTTTTTTTTCTATCCCTGATTTCCTCATGTGCCTCAGAACCCTAAGCAAGGAGATCATCATAATCCTTGCTTGAGTCTCCTGTTCATAGGCTCTTCTTTTACATACGCTGCCAGAATTGTTCACATCTTTTCTATTTCATTAGTTGTCACTTTTGGTGATGGGTACATCAAGTGTCTTGGAAAGGAAAGTGGTCTGAGTATTTATTTGCTTGGTAGAAGAACCAATTGTGTTAAAAAGATGCTGATTTGCCCCATGGTACCACTGTATCTGGAACAGCAACAAGAAAAACAAAACAACTAACCTCAAAGGAAAAAAAAAAAAGATGGAGGTCTCTAACCTCAAGGGACAAGTAATGATGAGTTAAACACCAGAATTTTAAAGGGAGAAACAATGATGAAAAAATGTCTCTTATAAGGAATCTTTTTTGTTCATAATTTTTATTAGTTTTTTTTTTTTTTTGGCCTAGTAACTTACGAATTTCATTTTCTGTAAAATTTGTATGGTATTTCTTCTCCATTTCCAAAGTAATCTTTAGGATGACTTTCAGCTTTTGTTTTGCAAGAGAAACTTCTTGCCAAAGTGGAGACACTAGCCGAAGCTCAGGCAGGGGCATGAAGGTGTTTCAGTATTGAATGCTTCTGTACTAGTGAATCAAACAGTGCTGGCCTTAGGGGTGGGTTATGAGAGTGACTAACCACGTTCAGGGTTTGCCACATATGCACAAGCACACATACATCTGAGCAGTCCTGTTCACAGCAAGACTCTCCCCCTAGGCCTGTGTGAGTCGGCAGTGATCCAATTCAGCTTTGGATCTCGCCACTTTGGATGGCCATGATCCAATCCGGAGCTCCAGACTGGGTTTCCACCTCGATCCGGCCAAAGCTTTGGTGCCACCTCGGAGATCCGGCCATAGGGTATAATGGGGAATCAATGATATATATATAACTTTGTTGTTTCTTGTCCAATTTGGATGAAACTTGCCAAATTGTAGCTTCTGCTGAGGGCATGAAACTTGCCAAGTTCCAGAAAGATCGGTGCAGAGGTTTGGGCAGAACTGTACCCCAAATTCTTGAAAGCCATACTCATGTCATGGCTGTGTGTTACAATATGGGGGGGGGGGTCAAAACTGCAGGGCTGGTAGCTCTTACTGAGGTCACAAAGCCTGCCAAGTTTCAAGGAGATAGGTGCAGGGGCTTGGGGGGAACTGCACCTCAAGCTGCGGACAAGCAAAACTGCCATGGGTGACCCTGCGTGTTTTAAGGCTCAGTGGGGTGACAGCTGCAGGGATGGTGGCCCCTGATGCAGTCATGATGCCTGCCAGCTGTCAAGGAGATGGGTGCAGGGGGGTCCTGGGGCCCTGCACCCCTAGCTGCAGACAGACAAAACTCATGCCAAGACTGTGTCTTCCTTGAGGTAGTTGATTGTCTGTATTGATTCTTTCCTCTCCTTAGCCTGGTTTTGTAGGTGCTAATTGATGCTCGTTAAGTCATTATGTAGTAGCTAGGTCCTGTGTGTTGAACTGGTCCCTGAGTCCCTGGTCCCTGAGTGAATCATGATTGATTGATTTGTAACTGGTAACACAGTAACTTAGCAGCCAGGCCTGCAGTAGTGTCTCCCCTCCCTGCCACAAGACAGACAGAATCAGTCCCACAAGCGCTGTTAGCAATTTATTTTGGTTCATTCCATGTGTTTTATCATGGAAAATCAGAGCTCCCCCTGCTGCCTTTGCTCACCAGGATGTGGGTCCAGCTGTATTTGCCCCCCCACTCTACTTTGTGGCACTGAACAGCCAATATGCCAGTGCCCTGCCCATGCCCTTGCCCCTCCTCTCATCCCACAGCCTCTCGGCCATGCCAGTGCTCCTCACTCCCTTAATTACAGCCTCCCCACAGCCCTGCTGGTGCCCCTCACTCCCAGCCCACAACACCCCCTGTCCTGCCAGCTCTCTTTATTCCTGATGTATAGCCCCCTGGCCCTGGTGGTGCCTCTCACTCCCCACCCACAGCCCCCTCCCACCCCACCAGGCCTGCCAAAGAGGGCTCCGAGCTGCTGGGGCTATGGGGCCAGGGATCTGGGTCTGCAGCCTCCTGCCCCATCACCAGCAGCACCTGAGTCCCAGCTGCCACCCATGGGAGGTGGTGGCAGTGGGGCTGGAGTGGAATGTGGAGCCTGGCTCCCCCTCCCCCTTGAGCAGCACAGCTGGAGTTGAGCACTTGGAGAGGGGTAGATGTGGGATGCCCACTGTGGGCTTGGGCTCCCTGCCCTGCTGCCTTCAATGTGGGGGCCTCTCTGGGACTAGAATCATGTTGTCTAAGCTTCACTAAGGTCTCTCCCAATATAGTGGTCCAGCGAAAGATATGACTTAAAACCCCTTTACTTTTCCAAAATTTTCTGAACCATCAGGGCTGCAATACTGCTCCAACTCTGTCACTACAAGTATGAGGACTATCATATGCGTGTACTCATATGTGTCTGTATGTGTGCCTTTGCATCTATGTATGTGTGTATACGTGAGCATAGGTCTGTGTGCACACATGCTGGTTTATTGTCTAAATCTGTATTTTTTTTTGTATAATGCATACTACATGTATGACTTTGGATGTACTCATGTCTACCAGGGCTTAACTGTCTCTTTTTGCATGTCCATACATGT